ATTTTATTTAGTAAATGAAATGAAACTTCTTTCTGAATCCGGATTTATTTTTGAAGAAATTACTTATAACGTCGAATTTTTATTTTGCATTTGCAACATGCCTGCAAAATCATTCTTGAAATGCGTAAAAGGTCATACTGCTTATTTTGGTTGCGATAGATGCGAAATAAAAGGAACAAATTTCAAACTTCGCAGAATATATGAAGGAGAATCAACCTTAAGAACTAATGATTCCTTTAGAAATAGACGTCAAAAAGAACATCATTACGAAATGTCACCTTTTGAATCCATTGCCCATCTTGATATGATTAAGTTCTTTCCTTTTGACTACATGCACCTTTTTTGTAAAGGAGTATTTGTGCGTTATTTAGAATTTTTACGAAGCGGTCAATTGCCCTATCGTCTAAGTGTAAATGACATGCAAAATTTAAACACCGATATATCAATGAGTCATGACTGTATCCCTTTTGAATTTCCCAGAAAACCACGTAGTATGAATCATCTTAATAAGTGGAAAGCAACTGAAACACGATATTTTTGTTTCTATCTTGGACCGTTTTTATTGCGACGCCATGTGCATAAAGACTATTTCCATAATTTTTTGTTGTTATTAACATTATTTAGAATCATTTGTCATCCGATTTGGAGCATTTATTTAGACAGTTATTGTAAAGACCTAGCCAAAACATTTATTACAAACTCAGCACTTCTTTTTGGTCGTGAATTTATCACTATAAATGTTCATTGTATGCTTCATATTGTTGATGATTGTAAAACATTTGGGTGTATTGATAATTTTAGTTGTTTTCAATCGGAAAATTTTATGCGATTTATAAGACAATTGGTTACATCGCCGAATCTTCCATTGCAACAAGCTGTAAATGCTAAGCACTAGCAAAGTGCTTAGCAGGGGTCAAAATTTAAAGCAGCTAAAACCAATTGCTTTGAAACCAGTAAGTTTTTGTAAATTATCATCGTGTATTTTTTTTAACGAAACTACAAAGACTTCATATTACGCTAAATGTTATTTTAAAACATTTTTGTTGTCAAATAAAAAACCAAATTGTTATGTTATGCTTTTAGACAAAAAGATTGACAAGATACGTAGTATTTATAACACCAATCAAAATGATGATATATGGTTGAAGGCATGTTACTTATTAGAACAAACTGATGCGTATGATTATCCCCTAAAATCCTCTGCGTTGGATATTTATAAAGGAACGCATTTTTCCAAATCTTTAACTAAAGTTCCTATTATTTTAGTTTATTGTAAACTATTTTCCTACAAAAATAATTTTGCTCCAATTTTGCATACTTGTAATAGTTAAATTATATTATCTTACTAATATTATACTATCTTAATAATATTAGTTTTGCTAACAATTTATATTTTATTTATTTATTTATGCTTTATTTAGGTGCTGTAATTCCAATTACTATTTTTACATTTAACTATTAAATATGAAAATTTAAAAATGGGTAATTTTTTATATATCATACAAAATATTACTTATTTAACAATGGTAAATTTATTATAGATGTATATTTTAATTGAGTTTGCTGACAGTTTTATAGCCGTAGCTTTACATTCGTGGCTAGAGTCGGATGAAGCTGACCAAAATGGCTTCCACATGGTTGCATTTCCCGATTTTAAGTATACAAAAACACGATATATGCTGAAGAATAAATTGCCAGCACTAACTACATGGGAAACTGTTCCATGCAAAGTTTTATACAAACATGGTAAGTGTGCATAGTAATTAGGAAACTTAAAAAAAACTTAAAATCTAGCAGACAATAATGCTTGACTGATAGATTGGTAGGATGATTTGCTAGATGAATTAAGATTAGATGAAATTTTTTAATACCAAATAATTTTGTTTTTAATTCTGATTAACGTTTTTTTCTAGAATCTCTTAAAAATATTTATAAACACTGCAAAAAATACTCAGAGACTGGAAAATTACTTTCGACGGACTATGAAAATGGACGAACTCACAGACGATCTCTGTACCTATCGGACAAGGAATACGAAACAAACGACAAAAAAAAGTCAAAACTGACTCACAAAGAAAAAGAAGTTGACTTAGCATCACCACCAACTCCATCAACAACACTGAATACGCAACTTCTTCATTTATTTCCAACTGCACCATCACCATTATATTCAGCATCTTCACAATCTTCTTCTTTGTTTTTATCTCAAAGTCCACCTCGTCCAACACTGCCACTAATTGAGATTTCATCCGAATATTTTGGATTATCTGCATCAGTTTATACTAGCTTTAAAGCTCGACAAAAGACTCCAAGTTCAAAGGACAATGAAATTGAGAAATCCGATTTCCCAATTTCAAATACAGCTATTTTTTTCCTAATCTGTTATTTTTATTCTGAAGTAGTCCCTAAATTTAATATGATTTTATTTGTTTATTGTAGCGTGGTTTCAAGAAATATTCACCAGTCTCATTCGGATTGAGGACACCCAAAAAACCCTAATGGGCATGGTGGTTGGTCTAAGCAACACCAAATCTGCTGTTAATGCGCCGGTGGAAGCTTTAAAATTCAGCACAACAGCAGACGAGCTGGATAGTCACCTGACTTATTGGCTGGACTTAAATGATTGTGAACGTCAGTCCTTGGTAACTTTAATTTAAGTTTTAGCTAAATGTATGCAGTTAGTTTTTTCTATTTCCAATGTAAACTGTTATTGTGCCTATGTATTTAAATTAAAGATTGCATCTTTGTCCAATGTCACACTTGCATCACAAAATCTCTCTGGCAAGCTTTCTAATATGTTGTTGGCCCTGGCATCTAGCTCAGTTTGGTCTTTATATAGCCGGGATGGGAAAAGAGGGAAAAGGAGTATTAGCCCAAGTATTCTTCCTATCATAATA